AACTTTGGCCTTGGAGTCCGCCAGATATCCCTTTGCTGTTTACCAGCTATGAGACCCCAGGCAGGGGTTTGCAGCTGTTCTGAGCCTGTTTCCTCATCTGTAAAGTGATGATGATGATGATGATCATAAATGTGCTTTTCGTCTGCCTATCATCCCTTTTTCATGCTAAGTAGGAAATTGCCATTGCATGTGGTTCTGGTTGGACTGGCAATTACTGTGCCCCATCTACCCATTGGACATGTGTTCCAGACCTAACTAATCATTGTGCCCCATGGCCCTGTCCCCAGGGATCGGCATAAAGAAGTGGCCTAAGTAGGGCCAATCAGAGACCTGCCATGGGATCTGATATGGGGCTGTTGGCAAAGAGAGCCTCTCTTGGTTTTAGATTATTAAAGCATAGGCTTGAGCTACTGGTGTCCAGGTTTCCTGGGGGAACAAAAATCAGGGAGATGACTAGGGGAGGAAGAGAAGGAGAGAGAATAAGGGGTAGAAGGGGAGAATAAGAGAAAGAAAGAACTCCATACCCTAGATACAATAGTCCCTGAAGCCTAGGACACCCCTTGCACTTCTCAGTTAATGAATCCATCAATGCCCATTCTGGCTTATGCCAGTTTGAGTTGGGTTTTGTCACTCGCAATGGATGTGTTGTGCCCAATGCATGACGTTACTAGGTTATTGTGAGGGCTAATTTAGCTGAAGCGCTAAAAGCAAATGTAAAGTGCTCAGCATGCAAAGTGCTCAGTAATCACTCACTGGGATTTTTGTTCTGGTAACAATTCATAGCTGTAAGATACATTACTAGAGTATATACTGCTTCTTACCTGTGGGGGGTGGGTGGTGGCCTCATGTGGCTCCACAGAGGGCCATGTGCCACCTTAGCGATCCTGTGTAGAAGCCTCAGATAGTGACCTGAGTCCCCCTTCCCTACCTCTCCTTCTCCCTCCGAAATTTATGACTGCTGTGTCCCTTGGGGCTTTCTTGAAGTGATGGCGGCAGCAAGAAGAGAACAAATGACCTGAAGGATGTGACTATGTTTATATCCAACTCAAGAAATTCGTTCCCCTTCTACTTCAGAGCAGCTGATTTCCCATGATCTTTTTAATGAAATGTATCAGTTATCTATTGCTGCGTAACAAAGCCCAAACTTAGCAGCTGAAAGCAACCAGAGATGTATTATCTTGTGGCTTATGTGGGTCAGGGATGCAGGGATAGCTTTGCTGGGCAGTTTTAACTCAAGGGTGCTCTGTGAAGCAGAAGTCAAACCAGTGGTCAGGGCTGCTGTCATCTGAAGGCTTGAGTGGTGCTGGAGGATCCACTTACAAGATGGCCCTACTCTACTCATGTGGCTGTTGGAAGAAGACTTTAGGTCCTCCCCACAGAGCTGCTTGAGTGTCCTCATGATATGGCAGCTGGCTTCCCCCAGATTGAGTGATCCAAGAGAGAGGAAGATGGAAGCAATAGTTTTAGGACCTCATCTTTGAAGTCACAAATGTCATTTCTGCAATATTCTTCTGATTATACAGTTCATCCCTGTTCAGGGTGGGAGAGGGTGCCCAAAGTTGTGAATACTGGGAGGCAGGGGACATTGGGGGCCATCTTGAAGGCTGGCTGCCACAGCTGTGGTGTGGTGTTTTTTAAAAAAAATTTTTTTAAGCTTTATTTATTTTTGAGAGAGAGAAAAAGACAGAGCATGAGTGGGGGAGGAACAGAGAGAGGGAGACACAGAATCTGAAGCAGCCTCCAGGCTCCGAGCTGTCAGCACAGAGCCCGACGCAGGACTTGAACTCATGAACCACGAGATCGTGACCTGAGCCGAAGTCAGACACCCAACTGACTGAGCCACCCAGGTGCCCCTGTGGTTTGGTATTTTTCAAGGTCATTAAAGTTTCTTCTTAGTCTGATGGGAATTCTCTTCCTCAAAGAGGTCTTTGGATGCCCAAGATAACACGGTGTCTTTAAGGCACCAAAACACCCCCTCTAACAACTTGTTCTTGAAAAAGCTTTTTACAGAGCTTGCGAAGAGCTCCTTCAACTAGTGAAATGACTAAACTAATTTGCTGGTCTGTAATTTCCTGGCATGCCTGGAGATTTCCTAATAAATACTAGCTTCAGGATGGCAACCTGCCAGCATTAGGGCCTTCTCCTGAGCGACAAACAGGGGATGTGAAAAGCATCTTGGAGGGTTGGGAAGGCTGGTGCATTGCAGGGAGAGAGCACAGGACCTGGAGGCTGGATGTTTGGTTTTGAAAGCTGACCCTGCCTCTTACCTACTGTAACACCTACCATACCTACCAATACCTATCATATTTCAAGAAAAATACTTGCCTCTCTGTGCCTCAGTTTCTCCCTCTCGGAAGAATGGTGACAACCCTGATTTTCCCTGACCCACGTGGCTATTACGAGGTTTGAGTGAAGTGATGTAGCATTTTAAGAGGGAGGCCCATGAACACTAGCACTAAGGGCTGTTAACCTCAAAGAGGATTCTGTGCCGAAGTGAGTGTGGAGGACTGTATTGGAACAGTCCAACTGTTTTCCATTTCCCTTGACTCCAGGCAGGGCCAGAGCATGGCTGTGCTGGCAGAGCAGCCACACAGGCTTCTTACATTTGGGGTTTCATGCCCTGCAGCTGCGGTCTTGAAATTCTTCATAATTTTATCTTTGAAGTTGTGTTTTGTAAGTGAAGTTTGAGGGGACAATAGAGCATGTGCCGGAGGCTTGGCGTCTCAACTTTCAAGAGTGTGCCTCTTACTGTCTCCTAAACGGTGAGCTCGTAGCTGCCGTCCTCCCTCCCCTGGCTCCCCGTTCTCTGCCCTGCCCAGTAACCGTGTCATCAGGGTACCCAGATCATGGAGCTCAGGACCGTGACTGGTTGGCATTGGCAGGGGGCAAGGGAGGGGGACCCGATTCTGCTGCCACCCTCTGTCCCCCACAGAGGCCTGGGCATGTGTGAAGGGAGGGCTAGGGTCAGTGCCCATCTCGTGATGTCACAGGGCAGGGAAAGGAGGCAGCTATCCCAGTGCTGGGCTGGAAGCACCATGGCACATTTAGCAGGAAACCTGGTGGAGGCCTACTTCTGACCCAGGTACCAAGGAGGTTGTAATTCCTTGGGGATCACCCAACTGCTCTGTGTTGGGACGCCATGGGAAGAGGCGATTAGCTTCCCCACCACCAACTAGGGCTCTGCATTATCATATTTTGTAGCTGATCCTCCTGCGGAACTTGTCAGATCCTTTAATATAGGAGAGACTAACCTGTAGTGGGTCAGAGTGCAGACTTGAGAGCTGGACTGTCTGGTTCTGGGTTCTGGCTCTACTCCTTACCAGTGTTGTCACCTTGGCCCATTTTCCTAACCTTTCTGTGTTTATGTTTCCTCATCTCTGAAATAATGATCATGTGGTTCCTACCTCCTAGGTTTCTGTGAACGTTAAATGAGGAGACAAAGCATCTAGACTAGCCCTCCCCATGTAGTGAATATTAGCCCAAGAATTTGATGCTTCCTTCTCCTGAAGGACTGCAAAGTTCCTGGGGCAGGAACGCCATCCGTAACAGGCTGCAGCACCACACGTCAACAGACTCAATGAATACTTGTTGAATGAACGGATCTCCAAGAGGAGCCTCCCATAGAGTACCCACCCCGTCCCCTTTTATTCCAGAGAATCTTACGCGATCAGCAGTCCAGTCTCAAAGGACATGGAGACACAGCATCTTGTCCCTGTTCATTCACGGTCTCCTGACAGTGGGGAAGGAGCACGCAGACACCCCAGAGGCTCTCACCAGCCTCCTGTCTGGGCCCATCTATCCTGCTGGGAATAGCTTTTCTAGACCCCCCAGAGGCCACGCGATAACTCACTCCTTCTCCCCAGCCTCTCTGCCCTTAATTGGGCCAATCTGTCTGCCTGACACCCTGCTCTGGTTCGTTTTCTTCACAAAGCCGTCTCTTGTCAGTTGACAGATTTTCAACTGTCTTGAGCACATTTTTCAATTTGTGCTCTTCCAGTAATTTCCCAACCAGGTTTCTCTTTTTAAAGCTACTTAATTTTATAATTTCTAAATGATTTTCCTCACCTGCCATGATTCTTCTCCACCCCCGCTCCTTGGCTTTTTTTCCGGTGACTTGCATTTCCTCAGCCCTGAAGCCATGCAGGTGTGTGGGGGACCCTTTAAGGAAGCCTGATTTTTTTTCAGCTATAGGGAGGATTACTGTCTTAAGCTTTTTGGGTTCCTCCAAAGGCTGGCCGTGAGCTAAGGGCATGGGTACAGCAGTTCGTTTGGGAAGTGATCCAGGAAGCAGGAATGAGGGGGCAATGAGAGAGAGAAGGAAGAAGAGCTGAGAACATGCCTTATTTTCTGGTTACCCACTGGGTAATGTGCAGGGAACCGTAGACATGGAATGCACTTTGCATTGTCCCACGAGAGGGAGAGGAGAATGACTGCCACTCCCCGCCCCCACTGGAGGGTTGTCCCTGGGAAAATTAACTTCCTTGAACTTCTGTTGGTGCCTGGGCACCTAAGCGGCCTCTCCTGGCTTTGGAGAAAAGTGTGGTTAGTGCTAGACCTTAGAAACAGCCGTTGAACATTTCATCAGAGCTCATGTGCCACAGAAGTTTTCTACAGACAGTTACACATTCGAGACTCCTCGGAGCTGGAATTGTCTCCTTGAAGGAGTGGACTCCTTCATTTTCCCCTTTTTTTTTTTACTTTTTTTTTTTTTTAATGTTTATGTATTTTTGAGAGAGAGAGAGAGCATGAGCAGGGTAGGGGCAGAGAGAGAAGGAGACATAGAATCCAAAGCAGGCTCCAGACTCTGAGCTGTCAGCAAAGAGGCCAACAGGGGGCTTGAACCCACAAACCATGAGATCATGACCTGAGAAGAAGTCAGACGCTTAACCGACTGAGCTACCCAGGTGCTCCTTTTCGTCTTCTTTTTAAGCCTCTGATTATGAAGGTGTTTTGCTGCCTTCAGGGCAGGCCCAAGCCAGTTGGGGCCCCTATGGGAGGGACTGTTGGGTCCCCAGTAAGAAAGGGACATTCAGCCAGGCAGTTCTACAGTGTGTTTCCATCTCTGGGGATCAGTCTCCTGAGAGGAGGGTGTTGATGTTTTCAGATAAGAAAGGAATGCATCTCCCTGTGACTCCCAGGGCCCATGACTGCATTTGGGTGGTGTCTGAATTGCAAAATTAATGAAAGGCACACTACTCCATGTATTGACACGTCTGAAGATGATGAGGCACGAACGTGAATTGCATCTGTCTCCTCCCCACGTCCCCTGATGACATGCTGAGTGGATCCCATAGGTTGCTGCTCTAGTTGGATATAGAAAGGTCCAGTTTTATCTCTTGTTTCATTTCCTCCCTCTGCCCTGCACAGGTTTGACTCGGCCCGAGGGGTTTGAAGTGAAGAGAGAACTTGGTCTGTCTGAAGGATCCCTTCTCCTCCTCCCCCTTCTTTCTCCCCTCCTCTCTCCTCAGGCAACCCCAGGAACATCACTGACACTGTGGCACAGCCCTGGGATGGCCTGCACACAGAAGATGACGTGAGGGTGTTCCATGGAGTATGCGGCAGCCCTGTGTGCTGGGACAGAAAAAAGGGACTGGAGAAAAGGAACACGTTTGTTTTTACTCAACCAGAACTGCGCGAGTCCTCTCTCAGCGAATACTGGTTCGTCTGCACGCATGGTGAGCTCCAAATGACTCCATTTGTGACTTTTTTGAAGTGCATTTGGGGGTGTGTGGGCAGAGAGGGATGTGGGGGGCTTCTCCTCAATGTGCAGGGCCCCAACATTGGAGAACCACCTTTGCTTGACCTCCTCCTCCTTCCCCTTCATCAGGAACACCCCCCTCTGCCCCCAGCCACTAGCTTCTGGGGTCTTCTTGCCTGGGGGCCACCTTCCTGGTTGAGACTCAAGTCTGTGGGGTCCTCTTCACCAAAGGAGGTTCCCTGCCTCGTCACCCTTAGTGGTAGGGGGGTTGACTGCACCCTTTCTCCACCTCACTCTCTCCAGTTATCTCCCGGCCCGTCTTGAATAGGTCTGAAATGGCTGTTGTTCATGGGTCTCCAACCAGGAAATGAGGCCCCTGGCTCCCCTTGAGAGCACCCTCAATCTCTATAAGCTACTCTGTTGGAGCGTTCTTCCCTTGGCTTGATGAAGGAGACACACTCCCCTCCTCCAGAAGTCACAGTCCTTCTTGGATTCCCCATATCTGTTTGTACAAGGTGGAGAGAAGGAAGGAAGGAAGGGAGGGAGGGAGGGAGGGAGGATGGAAGGAAGGAAGGAAGGAAGGAAGGAAGGAAGGAAGGAAGGAAGGATGGAAGGGAGGGAGGAAGGAAGGAAGGAAGGAAGGAAGGAAGGGAGGGAGGATAGAAGGAAGGAAGGAATATTAGCCAATTGGGGCATCTTTTAATATGCCTGGATGCACTTCTGGGCTCTTTCTGGCTCTCCTTAGGAAAGAGGTTCCTCTTGTATTGGGAAAAGCTTTATTTTTTACATTTGCTAATCTGGAAATGAAGGTTGGCATTTCTTTCTGTTCACAATTATATTAGTAGTGCCTATGACTTTGTCATTACATTGAAATACATTGATATGTGAAAATGACATTTTGTGCTCATCTCTATTTAAAAATTACAGTAGTAATTAGACCCACTGCTGGATCTTATTTTCTAATGTGTTAGTAACAGAGCACGGCTAATACTGTATCATAAATTTGGTTAGTATTTTGATAGCCATAAAACTGACTTTCTCTGTTATCCTATGTATTTTATTTTGTGCATTTATAAACGATTATTCTGGCGTGCCTGGGTGGCTCAGTTGGTTAAGCCTCTGACTTCGGCTCAGGTCATGATCTCACGGATCGTGGGTTTGAGTCCCACGTCAGGCTCTGCGCTGACAGCTGGGAGTCTAGAGCCTGCTTCAGATTCTATGTCTCCCTCTCTCTCTGCCCCGCTGCATCTCACGCTCTGTCTCTCTCTCAAAAATGAATAAACATTAGAGTGAATGAATGAATGAATGAATAAATAAATAAATAAATAAATACAAACCATTATTCTAAAAAGGGAGCATCACTTGAATAGATGCCAACACAGAAAAGGTCAGAAGCCCTGCTCTGGAACATGTGGATTCTTTGTGCCTAATGTCTAGCTTTAGGGCTTTGCTAGAACTAGCATATTCCTTTAGATAATTTTCTACTCTGGCTTTCTTTTTAGCCAGGATCCTGTTGTCTCCAATCAGAGCCAATTATAGCTAGCATATTTTAAGTGCTTCCTCTGTGCAGGCACAGTCCAAAGCACTCTACATGCATTAGCTCATTTAATTTCCATTTTTTTATGGAGGCACAGAGAAATTGAGTGACTTGCCCACAGTCACACAGCTAATAAGTAAGTAGGGGAACTGGGATTTGAACCTGGACAGTCTGACTCTCCACGTTCTTAATCCTGTTGATTGCAAACTAGGTAAGAGATAGCTAGTTTTCCAAAAAGCCCATGTTCCTGGGTTTAAATAGTGTGGGCCTAGCTAATTCAGTCTTTATCACTACAGAGCAGCCAAAAAACCTTTTCAGCTCTCCAACAGAGAAATGCACATTGAATCGCAGTGCCCCCTGGCTTACATAGCACTTCTGACCACTCAATCTAGGGTCAAGCTGGTTCACAGAAATTTAAGACAAACCTTATTAGGTGCCCATAGTATGGCGAGCCCTCTGTCAGGTGCTGGGAAAAACGAGTAGAATAGGGATAGCTACCACCCATCTGGAACTCGTGCAAAATCAGGAGACACACCCAGTAGTTGTGTTGGAGGGGCATCTGGGTGAACATCCAACTCTTGATTTCGGTTCAGGTCATGATCCCAGGGTTGTGAGATCAAGCCTTGCATCGGGCTCCATGCTGAGCGTGGAGCCTGCTTGGAATTCTCCCTCCACTCCCCTCCCCCACTTGCACTCTTTCTCTCAAAAAAAAAAAAAAAAAGTTGTTTTGGAATAAAGAGAGCCAAGCTCTGGTGGAGGGTGTGGATACAGCCTCTTGGATGCTGTGGTGGAAGGGATTTTTCACAGGCTCAGGAAAGACTTCGGCTCTCTTCGGGCTCCCCACCCTGATGCCACAGTGAGCCCACCTTGCCTGGCTGAAGTGCCAGGGTTTCCTTTGGCCCTTCCTCTAAACTTCAGTCCTTGAAACTTAGATATCTCCCTCCCTCTTCCCTCAATATGCTCCCACGCGGCCACTTAGCTAATCTCAGAGCCCCATTCAAAGTCAGGGGTTAATGACTCCTGAATTTTAACAAGAGTTTTCAGGGCTGTAAAGCAGGGATCACAAACATGACCGTCTGAGGGTCAGGCAGATAACGTCAGTGAAGGAAGCAGGCCAGTATTTGCATGTTAAACATGCAGGAATATTCTTTACTTCCACAGAGATAGACTCTCACCTATTCTTTTCTGAAAAACATTGGCTTCTGGAACCATCTTTCCCTTTTCTTTTCACTTTTAATAAAGATCAAACACAGATAAATATTTCTTCACCAGGAGAAAAATCACAGTGCAGCATGGTGCTAAATGCTAACTATCACATGGAAACTAAGGGCACTAGTGATTCAGGCTGCCCCAGAAAGCAGATTCTGAGAGTAGGATTTGAGTGCAAGCTGTTTATTTGGAAGGTGATTCTGGGAAGTGTTGGGAGAGACCTGGGAACTGGGATAGGGAAAGGAAGGCAGCCAGTCAATAAAAGGTGCATTACGGAGTGACTTACCACTCTGGAACGCTGGGACTCAAACTCTAGGGGCCAATGGAAAGGTGCCCTCCAGCTATCCCATCTGAGGAATGGAGAGCTGTGATATTTATACATCAACTCCCATCAGTGGTTGATTGGAGTCTTTTGGGGGTGGTAGTACCTTCAGTCTCTAGCCCCTCTGGCTAGGCGGGCTCCAGGGGGCCAGAGAAAGCACTTAGGCAAAGGGACATAGGTTTTGGGTCTTAGAAGTCAGGTATCAGGCCCCAAACCGTCAAGACTCTGACAGGCATTGACCATGATGAATTGAAGCAAGCTAGCGCCTGAATTTTTCTAAGCAAGAATGTGGCCCAGGGTTGCCAGACCTTCTGATTTCTCAAGAAAAGCTGAACATTTAGGGTTTTTTGTGAAAGTGCTCAATTTCATAAATGCTGACAATAAATCTAAAATTTTTAATTATTAAAAGTGTTTATTTATTTTGAGAGAGAGAGAGGGAGTGTGAGCAGGGGAGGGACAGAATTAGAGAACCCCAAGCAGGCAGACATGGGGCTCAGTCTCACAAACCATGAGATCATGACCTGAGCCGAAATCAAGAGTTTGATGCTTAACCAACTGAGCCACCCAGATGCTGCAACAACAGATCTAAAATTTTAAAATACGTCATAAGAATCAACCAAAGCATGTCTGTGGGATGGATCTGGTTTACAAGTAGCCAGATTATGAAGTCTGATCTACCCTAAAGTGTAGGTGAGAACTTGGCTCCAGACCATTCTTGCTCAAGGCAAGCTCTAAAGATGAATTCCAATCAGGTAAGGTGGATTTTTAGTTAGGGAGTAGATTGTGAATTAGGGAGTGGAGTGAATTGATGTAATAAGAGACCACTTCCCCAAGAGAGTGTTTGTAACCAAACAGAAGTATGTTTCTTTCTCATGCAACAGACTGGAGGTAGGTAGATGGTCCCAGACAGCTCTGTTGCATGGGGCTGTCCAGAGACCCAGGTTCCTTCTATCTTGTTGCTCAAAGGGTTGTCTTCATCTATGTGGCCAAGGTCAGTTGACCAGCTCCTTATTCACATTCTAGCTAGTAGGGAAGGGAAAAGAGAAGCTCAGTCAGGCTCAGTAATTGCAAACTTCACTTTCTCTCACATCCCATTGGTGAAAACTTTGCCATATGGCCATCTGCAAGGGATACTCAGAAATGTAGTCTCTCTCTCTCTCTCTGTCTCTCTCTCTCTCTCTCATTGGCTGTATGTTCAACTTAAACTTCGTGTGTCTGTGGGAAATGTATTATTACAGAATTAGGGGAGCGTAATGTTAGGGGACAGTGAGTAACTTTTGCCACATCAATAGAAGGGTCTGGAAAAGAGGATGAAATTCAAGCCTGAGGTAGGATCTACCTGAGAGAGACTTTTTTTTCTCACAAGAATGATTTAAGTCTGGCTTTCCCCCCTTCTCTCTCTCTCTTTCTCTTTTTTTTTTTAACGTTTATTCATTTTTGAGGGAGAGAGAGAGAGAGAGAGAGAGAGTGGGGGAGGGGCAGAGAGAGAGAGGGAGACACAGAATCCGAAGGAGGCTCCAGGCTCTGTTAGCACAGTGCCCAATGCGGGGCTCCAACTCACAAACTGAAATCATGACCTGAGCTGAAGTCGGACGTTCAACTGACTGAGCCACCCAGGGGCCCCATCCCCATTAGCTCTCTTTGTTCTGTCTTGGTCAGTCATGAAACCTTAATAGAGAATTAGCTCAAACCTGGAAGAAGTCTGTTATAATGCGAAAGAAGCAAACATAATAAGTACCTAGTAGATACAAGGGGCTTTCACATATGTGATCCTATGTAAGCTTCACAATCACCCTATGAAGTCAATATTATCATCCCCCCATTTTGTAGAAGCAAAACTGAGGACAAAAGAAGCAGGTTGCCATTCAAGCTCTCTCACTAGGGTCAGGGTATGGGAACTGACCAATCAGAGTTGCCATCCAGGTTTGCCCCATCCCAGAAGTGAAGGGCCTTGGCCAGGATGTGAAATGAGGCGCATGTGACTGCAGAGCTCACATTCTTTGCTCTGCAATCTGATTTCCTTACGCCAGCTGCTTCCCCAGAGACAGCCACAGCAAATCTACTGGGTTGTTGAGAGGGTAAACAAACCGTGATGAATGAATCTCCTCTCCTAATATGAATGCCTTATTGTTGTTATTCTTCATGCCCTGACAGAGTATTTACAGCCTCTCCCGTTGCTCTACTTCTATCTAGTGGATTAAGCAAAGTCAGAACCCCGGGCCCTAGCAGAAAGTTACAACTGGGATTTGAGTTAATGAAGAGTTAAAGGCTCAGCAAGTGGCACTTGGCTTTACTACTAACCCGGACAAGGCCATTAACTCTGCTGTAATTAAGTGGCTTCTTCCATGATGCCCTCTTGCCGCAGAAACATCCATGTGGGTGTACCCCGCATTCAACAAGCCCACCTATGAAAACTGAGACTTGTTGAAAAGAAAAAAAAATGGGAGATAATCATTCAATTAACCACAAGAGATTGTGTTTTGCAGGATGGGATTTCTGCATATCTAGTTTCGAAATAATACCAAAAATTTGATTCTGGAAGAAAGAGAGGATACAAAGATGCATTCCCTTCTGGCCCATCTGGAAATGTTCTGGAATGGATTAGATTTCAAGAAACTCTGTAATGATGTATCAGAATTGATGAAATCTAAATTAGGTTGGGGCTATTTGTGGTGGCTACATTTGGGGTACTTGCCACACCCTGTCTCCCTTCTGAGTATCTAGTCACCCACAACCCCACTGGAAGAAAGAGGCAGCCATGCCTATACCATGTGACCCCCATACTCTACCCCTCACCACTAACTGGATCCAAGGCAAACCGAACCAATATCAATCCATAGGCTCAAACCAGCTTCTGCCTTTCAAACATGTGAACTGAGAGACATACAACTCTAGTTAGATAGTTCTCAGCGCTTGAACCAAGAGATCATGTAGAGCCAGGTTGAGGCAGGGACCCCAATGCCACGTGCACTTTCTTAAGCTGGCAGAGAGAGAGAACAGGCCAGTCTGTAAAGGGACAAGGGGAAGGAGCTGACAACCAGGCAGTGGCAGGGACTGGCTTCCTTGATTTCCTCTTGTTGGGTGTCTGTCCACAGGGTGTGTGTCATGCCTCAGAATCAGCATGTTCAAAGTTGCCACTCAGGGGGGAACTGTTTCCAGCTTATCCACCTTGGTCAGGGGTGAGGCCTTATTTTTATGCCGCTGTCTGCTCTCAGTGGACCTAGAGGTCTCTGTGGGCCCCTCTGTCCTGGGAAGCTTTAGTCCTGGCCGTTGGATGGGGAAAGGTGTTGTCCCTGGGACACATCCCTGCAAACTGGATGATTGATAGGGTTTGGTGGTCTTTGTCAGGTAAGAGAAATGCCTCGATGTCAACTCAAGGAACTTTCAGTGTTTTGGAACAAAGCTGGCGGAGGCTGTGATCTTCATTTTCCCACTGTGCTGCCCTGAGTATAAGGCCTTTGCTTGGTTCCTTATGGAATAACCCACTCAATTCTGGCTGAGTTGGATTGGGCTGGAGGTAGGAAATGAAGTCCTCAGGATGCAGCAAGGAAATCTAGTGCATACAGAAGTGTAGGGTGAAGCCACAGTTGATGCCTCATATATGTCACCCCACCCCACTAAGCTCGCGTGGACGTCTGTTACTTGCAATCAAATGTGGCATGCAACATACCAACATAATAGTCTGCCCCTTGCTTGTCCCTCTCTTCCCTCCTGAATTTCTACAGGAAGTAGAAGCCCTATCTGGCTACCTAGGAGCCTTGGAAACATCATATCCAGATTTACTGTGTGGCTCAATCAAAATCCATCATGCCTTGGGGTGTACCAGCTGTCCTTTGTATATTCATAAGTCTTTATAGAAACAACTAACTTGCATTCCAATATTATGAAAGTTTCTTATCAAAGGGGTTAGCTGTCCCCTTGACCTCTTTATCTGATCCCTTCCTCCTTTTAATCCCTTCTCGTTGGACAGCCTCCATCTGCCATTCCTTTCCCCTTTGTTAATAGTATTTTTTGTGTGGGCTTTTGTCAGTACTTCCTATATGCCAACCACTGTGGTCAATGATTTACAGATACCATGCTGTTTAATTGTCACAAGCCCCTTTGTGGAAGCTACTAGCAACTATCCCCATTTTACGGATGGTGCAATTGTGAGACTAGGTCACTGATTGGATTCCACTGCCTGAGAGCTTTACCACCCTGCTTTATTATGGCTCCGGCTTCCCTGGAGTGATAGTGAAATTTCTTGCCATCATTCTCAGGGGCCGAGGGGGAAAAGGTCCAGGTGTCCTGCCTGGCAGCAACGCCCCCAGAACTTGGCTTTTCTCTTTTCCTCCTTCCCAGCCAGCACAGCTGCCAACCTGGAACACAGCCCTTTCCAAGAAAGCCCAGGAGAGCAGCCAACTGTTGACTCACCTGCCAGACACGGGGATACTGCAGCCAAGATGCCTCGGGGCCCTTGCAGGAGGATTGGCAGGGCAGACCCATGGTGGGGCACACACACGCGGCTCTGTGGGGTGCTTCAAAGGGCCAGACCTTCTTTCCTGAGTGCTTCAAGTTCCAGAGGTTAAAGACAACCAGATGGGCTTGTCCCCTCCCCCTCCTCCTCTGTTCTTCAGCCCTGGAAGTTTCTGCAGGAGACTGTCTTCCTCTGCATTTCCATTTGGGTGGCAGGCAGTATTCTAAGAAAGCCCCCATGATTTTCTGCCCCCACTCCTGCCCTGGTGTGCACTCTCCATTGGGACTGAGAATGTAATGGACAGCACTGCTCTGGTTAGATTGTATTATACGATGCAGCTGACCTTAAAGAAAGGAGATGTTCCTGGTGGTCTGGTCCAATCACAAGATCCCTTTAAAGGCAGAGTTTTTGTCTGGCTGGTGACAGAAGAGCATGTGAGAGGTTCAAAGCTGGAGGGTTTGGCCCACCCTTTCTGGCTCGAAGATGGAGGAAGCCCCATGGCAAGACATGCAGGCAGCTTCTAGAAGCTGAGTAGCCTCATGTCCAGCAAAGAACCAGGGGCTTCAGACCCACAATAGCAAGGAGTTGAATTCTCTCAACGATGAACATGAACTTGCACATGGCTTCTTCCTTAGAGCCTCAGACAAGAACTGGGTCCAGTGAGCACCTTGACTTCAAAATTCTGATACCCTGAGCAGCAAAAACATCTGAGTTTACCCAGACTGTGACCTACGGAATGGTGAGTTGATGGTGTCATTTCTAACTGCTAAATTTGTGGTAACTTGTTGCAATACAATAGAAAACTAATACACCTGGGATACTTCATAGGCCTCTCAAACCTCACAGGTCCCGCTGTTTCTCCATGAACCTGCTCTTCAGTCTTCCCCATCTTGTTAGTGACAACTAACTTCTTCTGCGCTCAGGCTCCAAGTCTTAAAAGTCTCTTCTTGTAGACTCTATGTTGATCCATCAGCAAATTCTTTCGACTCTCCTATTGTAAAGTATCGAGATTTTGATGGTGCCTCACCAGCCCCAGCTCACTCCCTCTCCTCTCTGCCTTGGCAACTCTGAAGTTTATGATAGTTATTGGGAGGGAGGGAGGGAGGGAGGGTGCTTTGGGCTGTGACTGGCTGCCCTTCTCCCCAGTGCCTTGCGGCATCTGATGTGCTCAAACACAGACACTAAGCCGAGGGGTGCAGAAGAGGAGGCTTCCATGCTGAGCCTTAACAGGGAAGGTGGCAGGGGGCGGGGATTCAAATTGTGGCCACCCTTGGCCTTGGAAACTGAGAGCCAGCTGCGCTGCATGTTTCTGGGTAGAATACAGTTATCACCCCCAGAGGAGTTCCCAAGCCTGCTTCAGAACCAACTATGCTCAGAAGTCATGCAGTAGAATATTTCCCAGGGATTGGGATTTTATTTATTGTTGAAAGTTTTGAGCCAAGAATGAAAAATTATTGGTGATGACTGAGGGATTCCCAGGAGGCCTCGAAGAACTTACGGGCAACCAGTCTCTTGGAGCGGTTAAGATTTATAGCTGTCAAGTCCGCCAGAGTATGAGTCTAGCTCATCCTTTCTAGCTGGGTTTCCTGGGGCCTCAGTTTCCTCAGTGGCAATGAAACGAGATCAGTTTTCTTCCTGGTCAGACATTCAGCACAGTACTTGGCATACAGGGAGTTCTTATTAAATGGTGGCTATTATGCTGATATGTGTTGTCTGTAATTCACTTCTAAAGCTAAAGCATAGATAACATGTTATGTGTGCATGAGTGCGTGTGCGTGCGCACATGCATTAGCCTTCATTTACACTGTAGGGCCAGTTAGCTAACATTTGAAAGATCACAGTCCCACACCCCAGAGGAAGTTACTATAAGCGCTTCAACGATCTGTCTTAGCTCGGCCCCCACGGGTGTGTTCATTAGCATAATGGATTTCTAAAATGGTTTTTCACTGATGAAAATAAGGGTGTTCAGGGAAGGTAGATGGCTAGAAATGTTTCGTGGTGCATCTGCTTTGCCTGAACTTTGCGAATGAATCTAGAGAGACCAGTGACGTGTTCTCTTGGAAAGGCACTGAGCTTGGATGTCCACCCGGTCCAGTATCTGGACGTGAAAAGGTTGATTTTATCACCTGCCCGAGTAGGTTAGCTAAGTACTGCACTGACAGTACTGTCACACCTGCCTCAAATGAACTTCTCATCTAAGAGGCTGTTGACGTGTCTTACAGGACAGCGGACTGAGATGTCCCCAGGCTTACAGAATGGGTCGGAGGTCTGTGTATGTGCCTACTTGCTAACAACTGTCACCTTTTTGGTGGAATTTGGTCTAAGATGGGTCTGTTTGCATCACACTATCTGGTGAGGAGGTCAGAGGAGGAAACTTGTAGCCTCTGAGGCCTTGTGACTAGTGGAGGATAAGGACCCAGCATCAAATGCCTTGTAATTTGAACAAGCAAATTGCTTAGGATGGTTTACAACAACTGCTTTCAAATAATTGGAGAATTAAAATGGAATCAAGGAACAACTGGTTTCCTGTAGCTTAGGAAAGACATGTTTAACAAGAACTGAGAAAATTGTGAGAATAAACCTCTGTATAAAATATCCTGGGGGTAGGATTCTGGTGCTGTTTTCGATGCAGGTAAAACTTAAAAGAGGGTGTGCATGTGTGCGGGTGTGTAAACCAGTGAAGGAGCAGGTAGAGGATAGGAGATGAGGAAGGTGAGTGGAGAATTCTGGTTCCATTTTTCTCCCAGGAAAAGGAAGGAAAAGCCATGGAACTTTCTAGAAGTGTGTTAGCTGAATGAGATAAGCTAGCATTTGGGCCACAGACCAGGATTCCAGTGGTGCCTCTCTTTCTTTCTAGGTGATACTGGGCAAGTTTCTTAACCCCTCTGAATCTGCTTCATCTTTGACAAAATGGATAGAAGCGTACTTTGAGTTATAATTAAGGTGAATGGACTTGAAACTACTTAGCAAAATGTCAGGCACAGAGTGAACTTTCCATAAATAGTTGCCTCCCTGAATACTTCGAGCACCAGGAGTTGTGCACACAGTATCTAGGTCACAGCAGCAAACAGGCATATAAGTTTCCTAGAACTTACAGACTAGCCGTGATGATGAACTTCACGAAGTTGTCCCATAAGTATCCCCATTGCCCTTGCCGTATCTGTTTAAAATGCAGGTCCTAGGTCCTCTTCAGGAGGTATCAGGTGATCCGTGGGTGGGGCCAGAAATCCGATTGTAAGAATCTCCCTAGGTGACTCTGATGGGCAGCTAGTTGGGGAAATACAGATTTAAACACTAATTCTCTACTATAGCCTCAGGTTTGGCAAAGCTTCGAGTCTCCTTTCAAATGCTCCTTGGCCATGCGGCTGACCTGACCATACCCACAGTCACAGAAGGCACCGCCTACTTTGCTGGCTGAACCACTGCATGGCAATGGGGGCAGGAGAGTTATCCCCTGCTTTGCTTATTTTATGGGCAATGTTCATATATCATTATCAGAAGCTTCAAAAACCTTGCTGGGCATGGAATTGACAGGCTATAACCTGTGTTACGCAGTCTTCAGTGGCTAAACCCTCTCAAACTGAAAAAGGCCCTGCTCTTCAGATCGGTATCTAGGAATAACGAAAATCTAGTCTGATGCTGCTGTTGTCTGCATGTGACTTTGGAATATATTTCCTCCTCTCCTCCCCTCTTTAAAATCATGTGTTGGGATTTCGTTCGCCTGAAAAATAATCCCTACCCACTGTGGAAAATGGAGGTAATAGATCGCTGGCACAGAATAGAAAGTGAAAAGGTCATGGGGATCCAGTGCCCCAGAGATGACCACCATGAACATCTTTGATGTATTTCTTTCCAGCCTTTTCTCAATGTATATGAATACAGGTGTTATTATTTTTCCCCCCACAAACTCAAGACAGAATGTGTGTGCTCTTTTTTGCCCTGCCCTTCTCCTGTTCTAACATGTTTTAAAGTAAAAAGTTAGTGATATTTTTTCATGCCATTCAGTAATCCCCTATGTTAGTGGTTTGCATGCTGGGGTCCAACAAAAACCTCAGGCTTCCTAGGAAGTGCTTAGTGGTTACCTGAGGTAGGGAAGAGGGTTGGGGGACTGACGGGGTGGCGGGGCAACTGCAAGGGCGGGGCTCCAGCCCCAGAACCCTGTGTTAGTGCCAGCAGCTCCACTTGTAACTGGTTGTAACTGGAGGACCCATGTAGCATTGCCTCACAAGATTTGTAGGCTTAAAAGATTTGAAAACCGCTGCCCTGAGTCATCATAAAAAACTTTTTTTTTTTTTAATATCTGGTTTCTTTCCTTTCTTTATAATTTTTTTTTTTTAACGTTTATTATTTTGGGGACAGAGAGAGACAGAGCATGAACGGGGGAGGGGCAGAGAGAGAGGGAGACACAGAATCGGAAACAGGCTCCAGGCTCTGAGCCATCAGCCCAGAGCCCGACGCGGGGCTCGAACTCACGGAGCGCGAGATCGTGACCTGGCTGAAGTCGGACGCTTAACCGACTGCGCCATCCAGGCGCCCCTCTTTCCTTTCTTTAAAAAAACTTGAATGAAGATGACTCGTGAAAAGTTATAAAACAAATATTTGCCAATTGCTTATAAAACCCCAAGTTTTTATTATGTACTTTTGAAAGAGTAGACAAATGATGTTCTTCGTAAAAACATCAAATACAGATTTGGTGAGAACCCATTCTCATAGATTCCCACACCCAAATACCTACGGAGCCCAACACTGCCTCACTGACCCACTGCCCAACTCCAGTGGGCTCTATTCATAATGAATACCCAAGTAAGAGGTGCATCTCAATCACGGGAATCTACCCCCAAAACCAAGAGCACACTGTACACACTATATGTTAGCCAATTTGACAATAAATTATATTAAAAAAGAAAAAAGAGGTGCATCTCATTCCAGACTCTTCTGCCTGTAGGGATTGTCTTAGGTTCAGATACTCCAGAAGCCAACCCTGGAACTAGAATTTGAATATAAGTGATTGATTGATTGATTGATTGATTGGAAGATAAGGTATTCACCTGTCCTGGTTTATCTGGGACTAGGGGATTTCCCAGGATGAACTGGTCACCCTACAGTGGGAGGTAATGGTAGGAAGCACTAATGGAGGATGGGGGAAATGAGATGGTCCAGGGAGGGCTGCTGATAATGAATCGGCTAGTTCTGTGGACAGCGGGGGTTCAGGCCTGTCTGGAACCTCTGGGGAGCGCTGTAGAACACCCCTCAGAGTTATCCCACCTGGGGCTTTTATCCACCAACATGGGCCCCTCACTGGTTGATACTGGGGGTGCTAACTCTCCGACTCCAGGCCTTCCTACCTCCCATAGCCCTGGGAGAGCCGAAGCAGAAAGACCCAGAAGCAGGAAAGCTAAGGAACAGAGGCAGAGCACCGGAGCAACTGTTAGCAGACTATTTTTGTGCATGTATTTTTTTAAAGTAATAATAGGATCACTTCATTCTTGATTTACCAGCACCTTGATTTATGTAAGGTGTCTAAAGGAAAGCCATTGTAGGCCACAAATCTAAGAATGCAGTCACTTCAAGGGACTAGGCTTGGAACTGCCCTTAGGTTAATATCACGAGGCTCGTCATGTAAATAATCAGCATTGGAACCGGATGAAACATAATATAAATAATAATAATACCTCAGATAAGTTCTCTGCTGGATTCATATCAAACTGCTGCTGAACCATTAGAAGAAACTAACAAGGACAGTCTGGAGATTCCGATTCTTCCAGCGCTGCGGTCAGCTGGACTCCCCCAGGAGGGCACGCTAATCCCCGGCACTGACACTGACAGCAGCTGGACGAGTCCTTGCAGGCTCAGGCGGAGCTGACCAGGAGCACACCGTCAGGTGTGTGCAGCCCCAGGCGGCGCCTGCCTCCTGCATCAGCGCTCAGCAGCTAAACAAGGGAGCAAGGAATAAGTGTTCCTTTTGTAACCGCGTCTCCATGGTTATTTGACACGTGATTGTCTTTTTTGGAGTTCTTGGCAAAACCCACTGTGGGTTTGGCTATGACGTTCCTCTCTGTGAAGAAAACGGAGGGATGGAATTATTCACCCGGACAGCCTCCGGCTGTTTCCTAAAACAATTTGCAAGGTGCAAATCCCAACCCTGATGTATCAGACTGGATGCTGCTAAAAAAAAAAAAAAAATTGAACACTGATTGGCTTTTTGATGATATTAAGGAATCATCATTACTTTTTACCAGAGTTGTGATCCCGGTACCATGTTGTAAAAGAGCATTCTCAGTCTTTAGAAGCGCAGTGACATTTGCAGATGACATGATACCATCTCTGAGGTTTGCTTCAAAATATATGGCTAGGGATGGACGAAGTGGGATTGGCCATGAGGTGAGGATAATGAGTGCCTGAACATTGGTGGCTCCTTGGCTTTTGTATATGTTTGAAGTTTTCCATAATGCACAAAAGATTTATTTTAGCAGATTTGATTTTGGGGGTAATATGTTTACATGTTGAACATGTGGCTAAGAGATATGCATGGCAGACCTCTAGTCTAATCTCTACACACAAGTCTGTAGAATGGAAAACTCCAGTGTCACAATTATGAACAAATTTGTGAGTATACACAATTTTTGTTAAAAGAGAAAAGGGTGGTAGCTGAGAGCAGATTCTGGTTTTCTTTCCCCAAAGATCATAATAAAGATCCAATGAATGGATATGACTCCAAAGATAAACTGTGTGAGTTGTAGGGGAATTATATGCCAGAGAATTCTACCCTCTAGACAGCAGCAGTGGAGATAGTGATGGGTGTGTGTGTGTTGTGGCGGGAAGGTAGTGGGAATTGGGGGGTCACTGCAGGACAACTCAGAGGGTCTCAAACAGAACTGTCCACCTATGACTGGGTAGGGTGGGATTTTGAGATATTAAACCACACCCCACCCCCAAAGTCCCAAATTTGTGGAGCCAGATAATTTGCTTTTTTTTTTTTTTAAGTTTATTTATTTAACTTTTGAAAGAGCCAGCAGGGGAGGGCAGAGAGAGACGGAGAGAGAGAATCCCAAGCAGGCTCTGCACTATAAGCGTGGAGCCCGATGTGGGACTCAAACTCACCAACGGTAAGACCGTGACCTGAGCTGAAATCGGATACTTAACCGACTGAGCCACCCAGGCACCCCATAGACAATTCGCTTTTGTTGTCCAGGGAAAGAAAGGATGCTACAGAATCGAGGGAATAACAGGGTTAAAGTTCCAGCATTTTGGATTTTAAAGCTACAGTCCAAGCATAAGACAAAAACTTGGTCAGTGAGAGTCATTGTTTTCTTCCCGCCCACCCCCAATGACAGTTAACTTTAGTGAAGCATTTGTCCTGTGCCAACCACTGTCCTAAGCATTTTACAAATATTTTCTTTTCTAACTCTCTAACATCCCTTTAAGACCATTGATGTTACAGATAGGGATACTGAGGCACAAAGCACTTAAATAACTTGCCCAGAGTCACATAACTAACGCGACTCCATTCCCTGGATAGTCGAGGGGAGCCCCCAGGGTTCCCATGGCCAGCTTAGTGTGGAATCAGTTAGGTAGAGATGGCCCATCAGGGAGTTTAGGCAGAAAGAACCCGAGAAAGAGGGTGCCAGGGGGAGCACAGAAGGGGACACGGAAGCTTCACGTGCCTTGGCATTCCCGAGGGCCTCCAGAACTGGGAGGTCAGCCTGGGGGAGAGTCAGAGAAATTCCTAAATGGGAGTGATTTTGTTTCTGCCGCCCCAAGAATTGGGGACCTGACAAAGAAGTTAATTTTAGTTGTCAAAAAAAATATGGAGAAATATCCTTCCAACTGCAGCCTGTAATTCTCCATGCATAACAGTGTGCCCTGGTTTCTTCTGTTGTGATTAAAGAAGGCATTCTGAAGGAAGCAGGGTTAAAATATTAGATTTTCAAGTCACATTAGCCGGGGTTTGAACCTGAACTCTGTCATTTAGTTGCCCTGGGGCCTTGGCGCGAGCCTTAGTTTCTCATCAACAAAACAGAGATAAGAGCACTAATGGTGCTCACGGGGTGTGTGTGTGTGTGTGTGTGTGTGTGTGTGTGTGTGTGTGTGTGGAGGAGGTCAGCTCCGTGCCTGACCCTGGGCCGCTCCCCCCTACTGCACAACCTGTTTCTTCAAGTGTCTCCACGCAGTGATGGGATAAATAGGAATGACTTTATTGTTCCTAATCATTGCCCGGCTATCCTGCCCTTGCCTCCCTTCCCCAGGATATTTTTGAGCCATGTATCGAAGATGCATATCAAATTTAACTTACTTTGTATTTTTGTCCCGCATTCCTAGAACTCATTTCTATATACTCCCTTTTGAGCCTTCGTTCTTCCTGATGGCATCTGTGGGAAAACGTTCTCTTTAAAAGTTTAAAATCAGTCAATTCAGCATACTTAATAGCCTCTTCTCCACCCCTGTATTGACCAAAGACTTGGGGCTTTAGCTACTATCATGGCATTGATTAGGGAGGTGTGAGAACAAATTTCTGTTCTGTGCCACTCTGATGAAATGTATAATCCTTCTAGACGGTTCCTTCGTGCGTTAGCAATGACTCAGTGGCTCACCAGTGACTTCCCTTGGTTCCAAGAACCAATGGTCCTATCTGTCCTTATCAATATTGACTTCATTTGATTCGTCCTCCTCCTTTAACAACTGTATTCCCCTAGCTTCCGGGAACCGTTAGAGTTTCTGGGTTTCTTCCCACCTCACTGGCTGCTCCTTCATTGCCTCTGGCTGAATCTCCTTTCCTCTCATCACCAGATGTCAGAGCACCCGGGAGTATGCTTGGAGAACTGTATGATATCAGCTGAGTTCCTCAAACCTAAAATCAGGGAGTTATCCTCAGCCAGCCGGTCCCAAGACACTCCATCTAGCAACACGTACTCTTGACTCTATCTCCAGAACACGCCGTAAATCAGTTCACTGAATTTCTACCGCCACCACCTTGGTTCAGTTTGCAGGCATTCCTACAGTAGCCGCCTATCCGATGTCTTCTCGCTTCTTCTCTTGCTCTTCCGACCCCACTATTCCCTCACCACACAACAGCCAGAATACGTTTTAAAAATATATAAATCATCAGATCCTGTCATGCCCCTTGAACCTTCTGGTGGCTCTCGACCACATGAATGACATCTCAACTGCTTACTCTGACTCATGGGTCCTACCAGATCCAGCTCTTGGTGGAGAGTGAAGTCTCGCTTCACCCTCTACCACCCCCCTTTGCTCTGTTTAACCCTAGTCACACCAGCTGCTTTAATGATCTGTTGCTACAAAACAAACCATCCTGAAGCTTGGTGGCCCGTAGCAACAACTGTGGGTTCTTTTTCACAGTTCTGTGGCTTAGCTGGGCTCAGCTGGGAGGCTCATATCTGTCCCCCTGAGGTGTCAGTGGGGTTGCTCATGGAGCTGCATTTGGCTGGGAGCTTTACTGGGGCTGGAGACCCTCTCTCACATGATTGGCTCCTTAGCTTAGGGCCAGCCTCGTGTGTATTTCTCTCTGTATGGCCTCGCCAGCATTGTAGCTGGATCCCTCTACATGTTGGGTCAGGGCTCCAAGAGGGTAAAATAGGAAATTGCCAGAATACTAGGCTCACCCACCAAAACACTGTCACTGTACCACGTTCTACTGGTGAAAGTAAGTCACGAGACACATACAGATTCAAGGGGAGAGAAAACAGATGAAGAGAGGAGGCAGGTGCCGAGGTCCTATTAATTCCTTGAGGCCTCTGCACCTGTCTCCCCACTTGGAACAGAGTGTCTGTCTCCTTAAACTCAGGATAGCTGTCACCTTCTTGTCATTCATACCTCAGCTCATATGCCCTCTCTTAAGAGGTGACCACCCAGTGAAAGATGCCACCCATCACTATCACGGTACCCTTTGAACACTCTCTGCAGAGCATTATCACTCTGACTTTATCAGATTATTTATTTACTTTTCACTCCACTCTGCCCTAGAATGAAAGCCCCTTGTGAGGGCAAGAACCTGCCTGTTTGGTTCGCCCTGATCTTTAGCCCGGAAACACCTGGTACAGAGGAGGCAGAGGCCCTCAGTCGGTATGTGTTGAATAAATGCATGCAAGAGGCCTCTCCGCCCTGCAGAGGTGAAGAACTCATCTTTCTGAATCACACACGCCCGGGTTCTGCCCCTTCCTTGCTGTGTGACTGTGGGATAAGTTACCTAAATTTTCTGTGCTTCAGTGTCTAAAACAGGGTGAGAAGTAAGAGAACCCCTCTCATCCTCACAGGAGTTGTAAAGGTAAATGAAAATGATCAAACTTATCAAGGGGCCTGGAAGTCCTCATTATTTTAATGTAAACTTGAATTCACTCCTTCCTCTTTACTTGCTTCCTCTGAGCTCCAAAACCAGGAGAGAAAAATTCCAAGTAACTCTAGAAGGGAAGAATCACGTTACATTGTGATCCTTAAAATGCTTTCACGTGGCTGCCTGATGGCTCCAGCCAAGAGTAGGTCCTTATGATGTGTCCGGTGGTGTAGGGCAGCCTGACCAAGGTTAGGGGAGAGCCAGAAGGTGTTGAGCCCACTCTCTGCTTTTCCTGGGAACTCTTGTGTGTTCCTCCTGCAAGGACCACCAGACCACGGAGGAGTTCTTTTCAGGTCCACATTCTGCAAAGGCTGCACTTGACCCTGGCTTCCTTGTTGTTATTAAACTGTTTGGTCCATCCCAATTAGAGGCTTTGGAAACCGCTGTACTCAATTTACCACCTAATTACTCTTACCTTGTTTGTTTAATGAAGCTTACATAATGATTTGGTGATTTTTATGAAATGTTAGGTGGAGATTTTACTTTTCACTTTACAATTTGTGATTTTTATATTAATGTTTTATAACCTTGGGTTCTTAATCATAAAGTCATGAGGAGCTTAATTGATTTGAAACTAACCATGCCCTGAAGTGTGTACATGTCAAATTGATTC